CCCCCCGGGTAAATAATTATATACATTCCCCTTGCCGCGCGTGCCTCCTGCTCGCGCGCAGCTCGCGCAGATCAGATCCGGCGTAACTCGGGACGCATATCATTGCGACCGGCTCTCCTCTTTTCCCACACGGACGGAGGCCAGGGGCCAGGCCACAGGCCCGCGGGCCTGCCCTGCCTGGACCAGGCGCGCGGGCCGGCCTGCTCACGCCTTGTTCTCGGCCCGCACCACCACCACCGGGGCCTCCTGCTCGTGCTACCCGACCCGCAGCCGCAGCCCCGCCGAGCAGGGGCCAGACGTGTTACGTCATACGTGACCCAGTCACCAAGTTTCCGTTCGCTTCCGCGCTCGCTCGCAGCGCAGCTCAGATCTCCTCCCTCGTTTTTGTCTATTTTCCAAAAACAAGAAAGTGTTTGGCAAAGGTTGGTTTTACACTTTGCTTTCGCCCCTCCCCATCTGCCTGCGGTCGAGGGCATCCTATATAACTACAGGCCTGGGCAGCGCGGGGCGGGCGGTGGGGCGCGGGGACCTCAACGCGCGGAGCGCACCGAGCGCACCTTTCACTCCCTCCACCAGAGCCAGACAGATGCAATTATTGCACGAGGTCGCGCCGATGCTTTTTTTCATGGTCCTTTTTTTTCTGATGTATTCCTTCACCCCCAAATATTACAGCAGCCTCTCCACGAAGTGTGTACTTGAATGCAGTACCTCCCTACAGGGTGTGCACTTGGCAAGTATGAAGGAGGTAGTTTTGGTAGTTTGTACATAGACAAGTAGTCAAGTACACACTAAAACCTCCACACATTCATGGGGGAGATTTAGTATATACTACGTCAAGTGTAGTCACCCTGCTTACTGGTCTATGCTCACACTACCTCCTGCATACTTGCCAAGTACACAGTATCTCCTGCACACATGTAGGTATGCAGGAGGTACTGCATTCAAGTACACACTTCTTGGGTTTCCCAGAGCACTCATCATCTAAATGTCACGTTGCAGATGTCGGACGTGGCGGTGGCGACGCCCTTGTCCGCCTCCTTGAGGGCGCGCCAGCACTCCTCGCCCTCCTCGGGCCCGGCCTCGGCCCCGGCCGGCGGCGTCCACCCACAGGACCTCAGCAACTTCCGCACTTGGCTCAAGCACCAGCCGCACCTCCCGCACGACATCCCAGGTCAGTCACGGCTTCAGACGGGGAGTACTTCACTCATCAAAAAACAAACAAAAACAAAACA